CTCCTACGTGTTCATAATGGATAACTTAATTCCATCTGGAAACTAGCACTCTGTGGATAAACAATGTAATAATTATGAAAGATTAACCTCAGAAACAGAAATGTGATTTAATAAAGAAGCATTGCATTTATTTTCAGAATCAATTTTCTATTTCTCTGTTAATGGCCACTTGTCTCTTTAGGTTTTTAGAGTGATAAATATCACATTGGCTATTTTCTGATGCCCACGGGGCGCCTTACACTGGTCTTCATCATTGCAGAGGACATCCCCATTGAGACCTGCTCTGAGTCTGATGGTGGGAAATGACTTTTGTTGAACACCCTCTGGTGTCCAGGCACCATGCTGTCTCTATACAGGTGGCCACAGTGAGCTCTCAGGTCTGCATCGGGGAGACGCTGCTATAGTGATGTTTTTAGGTGACATTTAGAGGTGACTATCCAAACCACACAGAACACAGATCCATTTCTACATGACTTTGGCATCAATGACCTGTGTTACATTTCTTTAAGAGGCTTTTAAAGTTTTCACATAAATTAATAATATAAGAAGTTAAAGTGGATGTCAAGTTTGAACTTTTTTTATTTGTTATTATTATAACATGGATTTTTTTTTTTTGGAGTCAGGATCTTACTATGTATGTTGCCTTGACTGACCTCAAACTTACTATGCAGACCAGGCTGGTCTTGGACTCACAGAGATTGGCCTGCTTTTGCTTTCTGGATGCTGGGATTAAAGGTGTGCTTCATCATGCCCAGATTTAACAATAATTTTTTTTATTTTTTATGGTGTTTTGAGACAGGGTTTCTCTTTGTAGCTTTGGCACCTTTCCTGGAACTCACTCTGTAGCCCAGGCTGGCCTCGAACTCACAGAGATCCACCTGCCTCTGCCTCCCATATGCTGGGGTTAAAGGTGTGTGCCACCACTGCCCGGCTAACAATACTATTCTTAAATAAAGGCTTCTGTTTGGCCCTATGTAGCCCAGGCTGGCTTAGACCTCCTGATCCCTTTACCTCTCACACACTGAGATGACAGCGTACCACCTCAGCTCAGCTCAGAGGATTTTCTGTACTTGAAAAATAAAACCTAACAATCAGCATCCCCACTCCTTCCCTTATCTAAGTCCATGTCTTCAGTGATCCAAGTCAAGTCCGGAGAAGTATGTGTGTGTTGTGTGGGGTGTGAGGTGTGTTGTGTGTTGTGTAGGATATGTTGTGTGTTGTGTGTTGAGTGGGGTGTGTGTAGCATTTAGAGATGTGGCTACAGCATGGTGATAAAGTGTCCAAAGCTTGGAAGAGAGCAAAGTGCCCAACAGGGAGCCAGCTTGTGTGAGCAAGGGTGGTAGGGTGGACCTGAGAGGAATGGGAAGTGGGTGTAATCAGGGTGTGTTGTATGAAATCCCCAAATAACTAATAAAAAACGTTATGCCGGGGGTGGGAATGTGCTCAGTAGAGTTGCTGACTTGGGAGTAGAGCCCTGTGTTTGTGTTTATATTCTTGCCTGGCACTCACATGTGCCCCTAGTAAGGCACATAGCCTCTGTTGGAATCTGTTTCTTCTTTTGTAGTATAGAAACACTCCATGGTTAATCCACACAGTTCACAGGGCACGTGAAAAGAAAACGTAGGAGCTAAACGTCGTATGTACCCGATGTTAAGTACCTTCCCTGCTTTATTCTTGGAGATGGGGTCTCTTTGTGAACCTGCAACGGGGTGATTTGGCCAGTCTTGCTAGCTGCTTTTCTCTGGGGGTCCCTTCTCCACTTGGCTTCTGGGAGGGAGCTAAGGATCTGAACTCCTGTCCTTACACTTCCACAGTCAGTACTTTGTCCTTGAGCCGGCCTCTCCCAGTTGCTTCTATTATATTTTGATTTCCACTGAAAAAGACGCTGCCTGTCTTTTCTGGGTCTCTCTTGCTCCTCTAAGGGCGGAAGGTTTGACACAACACCTGACTCAAGGACTCACCGCTGCCCAAGCCTAGGTCTGCTCTGCTGTGTTTCTTCCTGGACCTTTGGTTTGCCAAGGGCCAGCCGGTGCCACTGTCTCCTGAACTTCATGGTATCCCATAGTGGTGGTGGTGGGGTGGCAGTGGTGAGGGCGAGGTGAGGTGCTGTGATAATTTGGTCTTTTGGGTACCTTGGTCACACCTGATCTCCTTCCTGTTGTCCAAGGCTGAATACGGATGGCTGAGGACCCTCTGCACCTGCGTCTCTGATCTTTCATCTTTCAGAGCGTTTTCTTTGAGAGCTGCCCTCATCTGAGCACAGCGGTGACTGGACTCTGATCTGTATTCTGTCTACAAAGTTATCACCACATCCTCCAAAGCCCTCCTCTAAGGAAAGTCTTATTGTTGACTACCCACTGCCATTGTGTGATTGTCCCTAATTTTCACCATTATGAGATTACTTTGAAGGTCATCATTCCTTGCCCAGCTTTTCTCCCTGTGCGTACATAGATTATTATTATCAGGACTTTATTGCAGAAAATGGAATTATAGCATGCACAGGGCTGAATAATTTCCATGGCTCTTACTACATAGTCTGAAGTAACTACTCAAAATGAGTGGACTGATGCATACAAGTATTTATAGAAAGCCAATTTCACTGACTCCATCTGCTACTGTTGTTAAGATATGTTGGAAAACACTGCTCTGATTTATTGGTATATTATTTTATTTTTAAGAATTTTTATTTACTTGACTTTAAAAGAAATAGATAATAAATTTTTTTCTGAAAGCCTCTTTTCACATTGTAAATTAATTTTCTTTAGACTTTCAGGCATTCTATTGACTAGCCACAGTGAAAAGTGGATCATTACTTTGCATGGGACTTCTTTTTTCTTTTTATTTTAACATTAGAAAGCAAGCCCAGGGCATGTGTTCTATCATTGAGCTACCTTCCAAGTCTTTGCAATTTTGACACAAGTTCTTGGTTGCTATGTAGTTCAGCCTGGCTTTGAACTCACTATTTATGCTGACCTTGAACTTGAGATTTTTTTTGCCTGTTTTCTGAATGCTGGAATCTTGTGGTGTAAACTACATGTCCGGTGTGAGGAAGTACTTGTCAATTTGATAATGTCATTTGGAGCCACATAATGGAAGAGAAAAGTGTTGATAAAGTTGAGTAAAACAGTATTTTAGAACAATAAATCAGTTATAATTAAAAAGTAATGATGGATGGATCGTGTGTGTGTGTGTGTGTGTGTGTGTGTGTGTGTGTGTGTGTGTGTGTGTGACTTAGTAACTATCTTTGAAGATAACTCCCCCAAATGGGGGAGGAAATGGCTCAGTAGAGAGCACTGGCTGCCCTTATGAGTACTCAGGTTCCATCCCAAGCACCCCCATGTCGACTCACAACTGTCTGTAATTCCAGATCCCAGGGGAGCCAACAATGCCTCATCTGGCCTTCACAGCACCTGGCATGCATGTAGGACACAGACATCCATGCAGGCACAGTCTCCACATGCATAAAATAGAATAATAAAATTAAATAGACAGTGTCCAGGACATGTTTGGGGCAACTGTATTGAACAGACAAGTATTAAATTATGAATGCATGTTTCATTCTTTACTTTCTTGTAGACTGAGCCTTGTAATTTCCACATTTTCAACTAGAGATATTCATTGTCTTGAGAGTTGCTAGAATTACTGTATGTCAAGAATGCTGAAAGAGGCCAGTTTCTGACTTCCTGAACAGAACATTGAAATCACCTATGAGACTGCATCGAGAAAGACAGGAGATTTCTGACTCTGCTTCCCCACATCCTCTTCTACCTTCTCCAAAACAGTCTTGGAAACTTGAGGGTGTCATTTTGCCCTCAATGAAGGTGAGGTACGTGACTTGAGAAGAAGTGAGTAGGGCTGAAGGACAGCCCCTCTGTGCCGGAAGAGACACACGGAAGAACATGACAGAGCTGAGCTGTGATGGTCCCATCTGTTTCTATCTATTCCAGAGCTGAGATAAGGAATCCAGAAGGAAGCAGCTTCAGGACAGTATAGACTTAGAGGGCTCAGGAAAACCAACAACCTCACAGAGAACACTTCATTCAACATAGCACTGAGCAAAAAGGTATCAGGAACCAGTAGATGAGTTCAGGAAGATGGCCAGTCTGTGCCTGAGATAGTTTTCAGTGTGTGTTTTGTTTATTATGTGATGTGTATGGACTTTAGGGACACATAGAGTCTTGGAGTCTTGATAAGGAGATCTGAGAGAGCTCTGTGTGATTGGAGCCAACACACCAAGTCTTGGAGCACAGTAGCACACAATGACAAAGTTTTCCCATTACATATTGATGGGTATATGCCCAGAGTGAAAACTAGGATAGCTGCTACCATCAGTGTCTTGTGATCCTCAGACACAAGTCAGGGATGAGATGCTCCCTTATGATACTGTGAAGTTATACATGCTTCTTCTCTGACAGATACCACTAAGTATCTGTGGTTTGAATAAGAAATATCCCCTATGGGCTCATGTGTTTGAACATTTGGTCTCCAGTTCGTGGCACTGCTTAGGGGAAGTTATGGGACCTTTAGGAGCTGGAGCCTTGCTGGAGGAAGTATGTCACCAGAAGCGGGCCTTGATGTTTTATAACTTATTCCCACTTCCTCTTCTCCTCTCTTCCTCTTCTTCTCCCTTTCATCCCCGACCCCTCTCTCTCCCTCCCTCTCCCTCTCTCTCTCCCCCTTCTTCCTGTGTTTGAATGAAATGTAATCAGCCAGCTTCCTGGTCCTGTTACCATGCTTTCAATTGCCTGTTACCATGCCTTCCCAGCCACTAGGGACTCTAACATTCTGAAAATCTAAGCTCAAATAAACCCTCTCCTCTCTAAATTACTTTTAGTTGTGGTATCCTATCACAATGGTAGAAACTAATTAAAACAGCATGTTTCCCGGCCTTTGGTTTTGCATGTTGGATTCTACCTACCCCCACTCCCTTGGCACAAGATCTTCTTTTCTCATCTGTCCCAGCTTGTGTATGTGTGGTGGCGCTTGCATCCTTTGCTTACCTGGTTCTCTTTCAGTGTTATCTGTCCCTGGTCCTTGCAGCCGATGAAGGTTCTAACACACCTATAAATCCTCTCATGCTGCTCTACTCTCTGAACGAAGTTGGCTGGAAAGAAACCAACTCTGTCCCGAATCTTTCCCTGAAATGGAAGAGGAGGCATTCAGCGGCAAATGTAACATTTATTGTTACTGTCACCACCGAAGGATTCTTATTTCTTTTTAAAGACCGAAATACCTACTTTCCACCAGTCTTCATTGGAGTCTTCTAGAAGAGTAATCATGTCTCCTGGCCTAAAAATGAAGAATGGATGAGTTGGGTGGGGAAGTAAAACAAGGAAGGGAAAATATACTTTAATGTGAGATAGTTTTTCATCCACTCAAACTATCCTAAAATAAATAGAAATGAAACAAACACCATTTCACTAGCTCTTCCCTTCCAAGGAAAGGGAAAGCAAATACAATCTTTGTGCCTTATTGTTTTTAAATGGTGATTATCTTTACTTGTAGTACATGAAGATCATAGTCACAATTCACAAATGTCCAGATTCAATAAGTATCAAGGTATGTTTTGCCCTGAGTCTTCCATCTTCTGTATGTCCTACCAGATTTCCCCTTGCATCTATTTAGATATGGGCTGTATTTTCCTTTTATATTGTTTAGTACCTACATCTAAAGCCAGCCACTCTCTTTATTATTATCTTTATTTGTGGTGGTTAATTCATTGTCACCTTGACTGGATTAAAAAACACACAAGTGGGATTGAGGAGATGGCTCAGTGGTTAGGAGCACTGGCTGATCTTCTGGGTTCAATTCCCCTACCCACATGGCAGCTCACAACTGTCTTTGATGTCAGGTCCAGGGGATCCGACACCCTCAGACAGACAGACAGACACACACACACACACACACACACACACACACACACACACACACACACACACACACACATGTATACACAGGTAAAACACAATACACATGAAATAAAAATAAATAAATTTAGAAAAAGGAACACATGGGACATTGGTATGGCAAGGTTTCATGTATGTTGACCAGGCTGGTCTCACACTTGGTGTGTAGCGAAGGAAGATGAAAGGCTACATTTTCCTGTTTGTCTCTTTATTGGCCAACACCGTGCCTAGGGCCACTCCAGACACAAGGGATGGATTAGGAGGCCCCACACCTGTGGGAGGTACTGCACTATCTCAAGCTAAGGAGCACAGACCCAGGGAGGGAGGGACTTAGAGGTCAATGCAGCTGTGCACTGCAGAGCCAGCATCAGGGATCTTGCCCACTTTTGAATTTGCTCCTATACTTAGGAATTTATGTTTTTTCTGAGTACAATTTTTATTTTTTAAAACCTTCTGCTCTTGTTCCAGCGCCTAAGAACGTCAAAATGAGCTTCTTCAAGAGTGCTTCCAGTACCACCAAATGAAAAGAAAGACTGCCAGGAGAGGACAAACCCTGGGAAATTCCTGACAGGTAGCAGCAAGCCCAGGCATGGGGGGGGGGAAGGTGACCAATAGCCAAAGAATGGCAGGCCACCGTGGCACAGCCTGGGCATCTGAGCATCAGGAGGCAAAAGCTGGGGGGGGGGTGTTGCCTTGTTCAAGTCAAGCCTGGACTACAAAGTAAGTCCCAGGCCAGCCTGGGCTACAATGTAATATCAGTGCAGTACCTCTGCCTGGGTTGGACATGGTCCTAGGGGATTCGAACCCAGGTCGGCATCTCCTCACCTTAAGTCCTTAGACACTGAACCATCTCCCAGTCCTTTTCTTCTTCCGAAGCCCGTTGACCCATGACCTCTGCCTCTGTGGGAACAGCTGTGTTTTCCTTTTACAAAACTTATTTTTTTTTCTACAATTCATGTGAGTGCTTCAGGATTTAGAATCTCCCATGAAAGTGATGGATCATTAAAAGATTAAGAATGCAGGCAAAAGTCACAGTTCCTGCCCACTCTGTTACAGTAGCCCCGCAGCAGTAAATACAACTGACATTTTGCCATTTCAACAGTCACAGCTGCCTGCTGATGCCACTGAAAGAGAGATGGCTGAAGAAAAATCGCTCTTTCCCAGGTGAGGGATTTAATTAAGCACTGTGGATGAAAGTCATTGTAGAAAAATCTTCTAAGCTCCAACAGATTTTATTTAACCCCGTAACCTAAGAAACGGCACATCAGTATCAAATGCAGAGGCTTTGCTGATGGTTTGATAGAGGCTGTAAGCAGGGGATTGGAGCTGGAGACTAGGAAGGTGCCTTTGCTAAGGATAAGAGAGGAGGATGCTTGCATTAAATTTTGGTATCAGAGACAAGCTAGAGACACACTCTTTAAAGTGCTCAGAAGTGGACAGTCCCAGAACACCTATCCTGTGCTAACTAAACTATCTACCAGAAAAAGACACACACTGGAATATCAGCTATAATTTTATGTGAAATAACATATATACCCCTGACAGTGCAGTGAGGATTCTGTCTTTTCCAATAAAAGATCTTGACCAGGACCAAAAAAGTGCTTGGTAAGTGAAGAGTGTTACATTGATCCATTTATTCTTTGCTTTTTAAAAAACTCTCTTCCTCATTTAACAAATATCCACAGAAGGTAGATTCTGAAAGAGCCATCTTCCTAGACATCAGGTACACATTGCAGAATAAAATCCTTGCTTAGAACTTAATTTCCACGCAGAGGATAAGTTATAAACAAGTAAACAGAGAACAAACCATTTAAAACAATGTAAGTGATCACACCTTGTCTTAAAGTCTAAGATGGAAATAAACAGGATTTGGCAGTGAGGATAGGAGTGGATTCCTACAGAGGTGAGTCAAACTACCTGCTCTTCCTGCAGAAATAGCTAATGCTGGTGTCTCTTGCCCTCAAAGCCAAGACAACAACTTTCTACATGTGACCCCCAGAGCTGGTGGGATCTTCTCTGTTCACATGCCTATTCACACCAAGCAACGAAAGCATCCTTTTCCACGGAACCTGAACTCTGCCTTTTTTCCCCCCACACTGGGTGTCAGGAGGTAGATCTGGATGGACATGCAATGCTAGGGGCATTGTAGTGATAGGGGCAGTCAGGGGCACCTTTAGAGTTCATAGGAGCACCCCACACTTTGTATTAAGGAAGTCTACACATTCACAGTGTAAGCAGCCCAGAAATACACCTTTAATCTAGATGTGATCTCAATGGCCATTTGGAAGGAAGTGAGACCCATCCACCTTGGTGCATTCAGAAACTCCCACCACTTGGACAGGAGATGATAAGGAGAAAAATACCCAGGTCACAGTCTTGCTGACAAGGCTGCTGAGCAGCTGGCTGGAGGGGAAAGACTAAACTCTGGGATGATGGCTTCTGTGTCCACTCCCAGTGTCTGGCTACAGTTGAAGTGAAAGAACACTATTTAAGATTTTGATCCACTTTCTTTACCTGCTCTCCGGGTAAAGCATGATTTAAAGATTCTATCTCTGTCCCTGCTTACTGGATGATTCTCAGTGACAGGGGGCATAAGCTGCTTTGGCATTCCAGTTACAGTAAGACCATGATGTCGTATAGTCTGTTTTATTTAAACAGACGTGTTGGCCCAGTTTTGAGGCTCCAGCTAGAGTTTGCTCAGTTCTCTTTATTAAGCACCTGATTAACTCCCTGCTTCAGCAACTTCCCTCCTTGTAGTCTATTACTCCAGCTTACTATGTTACAATGCTGATCTCTCACCCCAGGGCAGGTACCAGACAATGATAGGCAGTCCCAAAGTTCTGGAGCCTGGCAAAATTACAGGGAGCCCCAGGAAACCCCACGTCCTGGGGCACATGAGCTTGCTCTTGTCCTGACTCCTGAGTACAAACCCTGTGTGGTCCTTCCTTGTAGCCCTTTGTTCACACTTGTCCATTTTCTTTTCAAACCTTCTCAACTTCACTCTCTTCCTTCACAGTGCTCAGTGTGCTGCATCCCACCATCAAAAAACTAAAACACTGGGCCAAACAACTCTGCGGAGAGAGAGCCTTGCCCATCAGTCTGGGGTCAACAGAAGTCTAATGCTTGGAGTTTCCCTGAGGATGACCCCTGTTGGCTGAAGCATATTGTGCACAGAGCTATGGATGAAAACTACCCGAGCGTGGCTGGCTATGTGGAACGTCCTGGAGGCTATTACTGAAGATGGCTTGATGCTTTGTTGGATGAGAGTTCCTAGAGGTAGTAGATGATCCAAGGACCCACTGTCACTCTCTCCCCATGGCCTGTGTGGAGCAAAGGTTCTTAGGAGTGGAGACACTCTCATTCCCTAATGAAGCCACTCTTTGTGAGAATGCCCCTCCATTGTTGGGCCAGCAGGAGGAATGGGGCCATCTTTGCCTTCTATTTGGAAGTTAGATAAATGGTCTTCACTCCTCTATCTCTGCCTGAATAGCCAAAGGAGATTCTAGGATGTCGAGCTCCTATTTTCTGAGTACTTATGACTTTCAGGTCTTGACTATGCACCAGAAACACAGAGATGGCAAGATTTCTCTAAGCCTCTGTTTCCTTGCCTCGAGGGTGAGTATAACACAGCAACCTCGGATGATGCCTCTTTTTCCCTTTCAGACAAACACGTTATCTTTCTACAAGTGAGATAAGGAGAGGAAGGGGCTTAGAGAAGCTTCCTCAGAACTTAGAATCTCACATGAAAGGGGTGGGCCAATGAAGGAGTAGGGAGGGAGACACTGGTTTTTATTTTTAAACACTAAATTGCATTAATACTTACTCAAAATATTTAGGCATCCACAACAAGTGGTGGCCATCATTGCTGATAAGCCGCAATTACTGTCTTCAGGATGTTCGTAACCTCAAAAGCAGAAGTCTATAAACTGGGAGTTGACAGTGAGTCTCTTCCATGAATGAGAAGCAAATGCCAACAGAACCAGGGTGGAACTGGATCCAGGCAAAAATCCCAGGCACCTATGCCTCTGGTCCTCAGCTATGACAATGCTACTCTTTAAGTTTATATGTTATGCATAATAAATACATTATGAGATACAGTTACTTTGCAAAGTTGTTCTGTAGATTGAGTGAGAAAACATGTGGAAGTCTTTGGCACTATGAAATTGCTAATTCTGTCCCAAGCCTGTCATTTTCCACTTAAGAGTTAAGAAGATCTAGTGAGTGTGACTCTCTCTCTCTCTCTGATGTGGTCTTTCTGTGTTCCCCAGGCTGGCCTTGAACTTGCAATCTCTTGCCCTAGCCTCCAGTGCAGCTGGGGTTGCAGAGGCACGGCACTGCCCTCATTCGTTTTGGTCAGGGACAGCTGGAATGAGATGTTTGCTT